ATCGTCAAGCAACAGCCTCACCTGCTCTCCGAAACCTCCGTTCCAATGACTTTGGCACCTAGCGCAGAAAAAGATCTTGACCTTGGACGGGCGCCCCGGGCACCTCCGACTTGAGGTACAAAACCTGGACGAAGAGCTGGCAATGTCGTCGTCATTACCTGTGTCGCTTCCTTCACACTCGCTGGTGGGGTGGAAGAAGCTGTGGCAGAGCGCCTAGGTAGTCGTAAGGGAGGCTGCTCCGTGGAACCGGATACAGATACCTCTTCCTTTGTCTCGCTAGATATAGATACATCGGGAACAGGAGATCGCACTCGAACTGGTGCTGGCGGATTTCCGCCAAGGAAGCCCTTGTGCGCTGGTGGAGGTAAGGTCGCAGATCTTGTTGGGGGTACTACTGTCGTGGAGTTGGGGCTGCGAGGGGGCGGACCGCTAGCAGATGAGGTCAAAGGAGGAAGTGGCTCTAGCGAAAACACGATTGGTACCGGTCCCATGCTTGTACTGAGATCAGGCTGGCACTGTGCAAAGATGGTCATTGGAGGATGGTGTAGAGCCGCTGAACTTTGTGCAAGTGAAGCGCTGCGCAGGCGATGGAGTACTGGTGCGGCAAATGTACTTGAGTTGGGCGATGGTAGAGGGTACGGGTTGCTACCGGGTCTGGCATTAGGAGGGTCGACATGGTATGGCTGAGTTTGTGAGGGGCGTGCATACATCGGGCCAAGACCTTGATGACCAACAGGCTTTGGTGCATTAGGGTGCGGAAGGAAGATAGAGGAACGAGAAAATGGATGTGCGGTTCGATTCAATGAACGCGCATGCTGGGAAGGATCTTGTTCTGTAGGTGTCAACGACGGCGTCGGTGCACTGGACGTTGGCGGCACGCCTGAATAGTTGGATGTGGAAAAATGGTCTCCGCGTCCATCTGGTAGCTGCCTACAATGATCGTCGTCTACTAAAGTGGCAGTCATCTGAAATCTTGAAGTGGATACATCGCGTGATGAAGAGCCAGTGGCAACAATGGGTGCAACAGACCCATGCTTGCTGTCCATCGCGGCCCTTGATGCTGATGCCAAGGCCCCTCCTTCAGCAGAAGCGTTCGGACTGTCGAAAGGAGACTTCATAGCACCAGTCGGTAGATTAGCATCGTTAGGATACTGATCTACCAAGTCGCGAGTATACTCTGGTCCATCTTCTGCGTCGGCAGGCGCCCACAGTGGGCGTGGAGAAGTGGAACGTAATGAGGACAGTACTGCCGTGTTGGCTGTCGTTTCATTAGTTTGTTGAATGTGGTCGCCTGCGACGAGAGTTCGCCCAGCCTTTGCCTCGTCGGTAGTCCCTTCTTTAACATGATCCTCTGTCGATTCGTGCATGACCTCCATTTCCATCTCCAGATGTGTATCCTCCCCGCGTTCCACGTGGTCGTCATTAACTATCCGAAGACGCGATTCGACACGCACTGGGACGCCGGTTGGCACCGCCGGGAACTGCGAACTCAAGCGATCTAGCGTCTGCGTCGAATACAAGGAGGACCGCGTGTCATCCGAAAGAGAGGGATCGAATGTCTGGGTTAACGGGTGCTCGTTTCGCTGTGAAATGGAGGATTCTGCAGACGCTGCTGTTGACGTCGACTCGAAACTTGGTCGCGAATACAAGCTCGGGCGCTCATCACGCGCGCTGTATTGGCTTGGCTGATCACTTGTGACACTTCGTTGTTCGAAGCTGCGGTCTGTCGAGAAGCTCGGCCGGTCAGCAGACAAGCTGGGGCGCTCAGTAGGGAAGAACGGAACGGGTACGGGTGGTGCACGTGAACCCTTGGAGGTGCCCGACGCTTTTGAACCTGCGGACATCTTAGAGACGACGCTCATCCGACGCGACGCTACTGAAAACCTTTTCGAGGCCAACGAATATCGAGAGTAGCGGTAGTCATCGTATATATCGTCCCAGTAACCACCGTCCTCGTCCTCCGCTTCTTCAAGTTCTTCGTCGGCATCATGGGACGGGTTTCCGCTACCTGCGAAGTCTCCGTCGCCCTCGGTACGTATTGGGGAAGTGGTAGCATGTCCTGTCGTCGTTGGACCACGTGACAAAGCTGCTGTGGAGACCACAGGCGTTTGTCTGTCCCAAGGCATGGGTGTACTCCCGCTACTTCCTGAAGTCATGGCACCCAGATCACTACGCACCACACCCAAGGGCACGTCCTCGTCTGAATCATCGCAATCGCCATTCAACGGTCCCATCAGCGAAAGCCCAATCCCAACCTCACCGTCCGAATTTCCATCTTCGCCATTAACAAGTACATTCGAATCTCCTTTCCGACTGCTGTAGCGTAAACTAGTCTTCTTTTCTGTCCCAGTGTTGCCTTGTTCAGAACTGCGATCGCCCGGGCTCCCTGAAACGTTATCGAGCCAACTTCCCGACACCATGCCATCCTTTTCGTCATCTGACTGGAAAGCTACGTTTCCGTCATCTTCGTCTTCATCACGTAACTCTCGGCGGAACGCGTCCAGGGTCGATAGACGAGTCGAATTACCGTCGTCGAAATCATCCCCATGTCCATCTTCTTCTGACATGCCCTTCTCCACGCCTGTCCTATGCGCTTCACCAGACGACGGTGCGGGAGGGAGTGGGCCAGTTGGCGGTGCGGATGGTGGGGGGGTTATACTCACAAGCCCACCGGTGAGGGTAACGTATAGACTTGTGGGGCCCGGTCCATACGGGTTTGGAAGGGGAGACGACGAAGTCGATGCGCCGGATGAAACATGAACTTGAGCTCTTGACGGGAAAGTGGGAGAACGGGGAGAAGGGGAGTGCGAGCCTGGAAATCCCGATGAAAGGGATAAAGCTGGTGAAAGGGATCCGGAGAGGCCAGAAGAAGGTACAGGGCTCGCCGACGAAAATGACCTCGGCGGCGCAAGGGATAGTGGGCTATGGAGAGAGGGGCAAGACCCCAGCAGGCTGGGAGAAAGCGAACCTGGAATTCCGACTGATGGAGCACCCGACGAAGGCGAGGGAAGTGGTGATGAACCAGAAGGCAAACTCGCCGGTGCTTGTCGCGGAGACTTAGAGAGCCTGAGTGGTGCAACTATCGGTAGGGTGGGTGAAGAATTAGGAACAGAAGCGAGAGTTCCAAGGCCGAACTCAGATGTGGGTGATGGGATAATGATGGCAACGGGCTCCCTATCGTCAACGCATAATTTCACGTCAACACAGTCCCTAATATCGTTGGAATCTGTGCCTTTGGAACGGTCCGGAACGGTCGTTGTAGAAGAAACATTGGAAGAGAAATGATGGGAGCTTACCAGAAGGAAATGATGCAGATGGTAATGATGCATTGGACCCCGTGTGATCCGTCTCAGTAGCACCGGAAACCACTGAACCACTGACAGAACTTGAGGTCGAGTACGCGGAAACTGACGTAGCTGTTGACACCGAACGTCTCGACCGGGTGGTATACACCGAACTTCCGGACACCGAGCCTGTGGAGCGTGGCACTTTGGCGGATTTACTCTCCTTGCTGTCTCTCTCCTCTCCGCCCAATTTGAAGCTTGTGCTGGTTGCAAAAGACCGGGCATGCAACTTCTCGGAGTGCGTCGGTGATGGCGACCGGCAGGGCTCTCTCGACGCCGACCATCCTGTTGAGTGCCCATCCAAATTATTTGTTCCGTCGCTCCTACCCAAATTTGTGGGTGCACTCCGCTCTGCGACCGCAATCGACATCCTCTCCGCCCCACTAGCAACACTTGTCCTCTTCGTTATGACGGGCTTCTTGAGTTTCCCATGGAAACGCACATCTTTGGCTGAGAAGCGACCGACGACGCCCTCGCAGTGGCCCTAATGCAATCGGGCGGTCAGAGGCATGTCCGAAGGAGGGCAATTGTCGTGCTCAGCGTAATACTTACTAGGTAAAACCCCTCCTCTGGAAGTTGCATTAACACGGTAATTTCGTCGTCCTGTCAGGGAAACAACTCAGTCTTCATCTTTACCGCCGACCAGATCAGGTGCAAGAAGGCGTTTTGGACGGGCAGCTACATCGACGAGACCTGCATGAAGTTGTAGAATGCAATCAGGCATTACAAGATCGTACCGTAGTCTCCGCATGCCACTCCTACGAGACACGGCAGAGCGAATGCAGGGTCCCAATTCCAAAACCACAACTTACAATCCCCTCCTGAGTTGGACCGCACCAACGAGCTCGGATGATAAAGAGGGAGAATCTCACCTTCAGAAACATCAAGTCCTCACCCATCTCCTGCGCGACGCAGTCTACAACAGCGGTGCACCTCCCAATGCCACCCTTGGTCGCGAAACGCGTCCAACGAGCAAGATCATGGGCATTCATTGCGAAAGCAAGACTGGGGAACAAATGCGCAAGCGATGTATGACTGAACAACTAGACTCGAGGCAAAGCCGGGACGCGACGTAGTAGCGAGTCCTTGACGAGACTTGTTTTCGAGATGCGCCCCGGCACGTTGGACCTTCGGAACCGACACGTAGGTGGAGTTGATACGTCACGTTCACTTGACGCTGGAAACGCGGGGGTAGAATGTGTAGTCCGTAGTTTGTCCTGTACTTCAAATACAACGATCGTCAATCATGGACGGACATGTGACGAGTGGGCAACATAGGAAGACAAAGACAGGTGCACGCGAGCAAGGTTGGACTGGGCAGGTACCGTTTCACTCATGCGATCACATTGCCCAGACCTGACGAGTGCCTGTTCGACGACCAAAAACACGGGCCCTCTGCATTGCAAATTGACCAAAGTCACCACTCACCTCCAACGTTTCCTACTCAGTCCCAAACTTCCCGCTGCCAGAAGAAAGAAAGAGAGAGAAAAAAGTGAACCTGGCAAAAAAAGTCCAACTTCAGCACGCCTCCGCCATCAATTTTGGTCCGATCAATTTCTTTTTGGTGTTCTGCAGGCAATTATTATGTAACTACCCCATTCGGTGTCCACAATCCGTCAGAATTAACGGAGCACCGCCGACCTCTTCGGTCACGGTGGCCGACTAGCTCAGTTGGTTAGAGCGTCGTGCTAATACCGTAAAGGTTTACGCGAAGGTCTTGGGTTCGATCCCCACGTTGGCCATGATTTTTTGTCCTCCTCGCGACGTTGAAGTATTTACCCGTGGCATCTCAGTCGATTGGAAACGTGCTGACCCGGAGATTATTGACTGCATTGCAGGTGTGAAGCGTGAATGACAGCTTTTTATAATAATAGGTTGGCACGTTTACGGTACCAACCACATTCTAGCCTGCGCAACGCTCACCTACGGCCGAAGCTCGTGAGCACCGCGTGCCTCCTTTGCATCCGCGGTGCTTGTACTTTCCTCCCGCCCACCACCACCATTCTTCCACTGCTCAACCTATCACTCAGAATCCCACTGTCCTTGACTAACTTTATCATTTACTCAGAACCTATATGTGGCCAATCCTTGGGTGGTTGGCATGTTCCGCTTGGCTAAATGGCGTCCACGCTCAGACTGGAGGCACCTTCGTGCAGGCTGGCAGCACCCTCGTCAGCGCCATGATGGTACGCCCACACCATCTATCGACACATGCATTCCGGCTCATCCACTCTTCCAGATGTTTCTTGGTAATGAAGAAAAAGTTTATATATTAGACAAGTCGGAAGGTAACGCAGCACAAATTAATGGGCACCCGGCTTGGGGTTCAGTCTGGTCCGTTTCTTCAATCGCCCCGCCCACTTCAGCGCTTCATTTTACTTGCCTTACAGGGACATCAATGCCCGCCAAGCTACTGTAATGGAGGTCGTCACAAATACTTTCTGCGCATCCGGAATGCATCTTCCCAATGGTTCATGGGCCACGTTCGGAGGCAACGACGCCGTTGGAGTCGGTACGCCATCCAATATCGTTTCCACCCCTTCGTTCCGTGACTGACTGGTTCACAGGTGGTGCATCACCATCTGGCAATTATGACTCAGCCTACGGGGACTATGACGGGAGGAAGGCTATCCGTATTTTGAATCCTTGCACGGACGCGGACAATTTCTCATCTGCTCAGTGCCAGTGGTTTGACAACCCTGCTGTTCTTTCAATGCAAGAGGATCGCTGGTACTCTGCTGCGGAGGCACTTGCAGATGGAACGATCGTTCTCATCGGTGGTTTCACAAGCGGAGGTTACGTCAACAGAAACTACCCAAACACGGACCCAACGTACGAGGGTGGTGGTGCGCAACCCACGTACGAGTTCTACCCGAGTCGCGGTGCGGCAACCCTAATGCAATTCATGACCACCACATCCGGATTGAACTCCTACGCGCATACTTATTTAATGCCTTCGGGGAACATGCTCGTGCAGGCGAACCTATCCACTAGTAGGTCATCATTTTCCTCTCCTTGTCACATCTCAGTTCAGCCATTTAGTTTTGTGGGACTATAACCAAAATATTGAGTACCCGCTTCCCAATATGCCTAACGGTGTAGCTCGTGTATACCCTGCTTCCGGAGCTGTGGCCATGCTTCCCCTAGTCCCTTCCAACAATTATACCGCCACTGTCCTCTTTTGCGGCGGCTCCGACATGCCTCCAGACTATTATGGGAATTATTCCTGGCCATTCTACAACACTTGGACTTATCCAGCATCTAGCGACTGCCAACGCCTGACTGCAGAACCACCGGATGGTTCCTCCCCAGCCTATGAACAAGACGACAGTCTACTGGAAGGGCGGACAATGGGTCAGTTTATCACCTTACCGGATGGCACCATGCTGCTCGTAAACGGCGGTAAAAATGGAACAGCGGGTTATGCCAACCAGACGCTCTATGTCCCTTCTCTTGATCAAATGCCGTACTACCAGTCTCTGGCCTCGGGACCTATCGGCACACCTGCAATCTACAACCCAAACGCTCCGCAAGGCTCCCGCTGGTCCACCGCAGGTCTTTCGACGTCCAGCCTAGCCAGATTATATCACTCCTCTGCAATTCTATTACCTGATGCGTCCGTTCTGATCGCCGGTTCGAACCCAAACATCGACGTCACCCTCGACTCTCCGTATCCCACGACCTACACGGCCGAAATCTTCTACCCACCGTACTTCTCTTCTAGTGTTCGTCCCCAGATATCAGGTGTCCCAAGTACCTTGAGTTACGGCGGAAATTATTTCGACCTCAACGTATCTTCGTCGTCTTATACCGGCGTAACGGCAAACCAAGCCGCAGCAAATACGACCGTCGTGCTGTCACGTGGTGGCTTTTCCACACACGCGATGAACATGGGCCAACGTCATCTCCAGCTCAACAACACGTACACAGTAAATGACGATGGTTCATACGTTCTGCATGTCTCGCAAGTCCCCCCGAATCCCAATTTGCTCACCCCCGGTCCTGTGTTGTTATTTGTTGTTGTGAATGGCATTCCGAGCAACGGGACGATGGTTATCGTGGGAACTGGGCAGGTAGAGACCCAGCCTACTTCTGCCGCCAGCCCTCTGCCGCCGAGTGTTACTGCGACTTCAGTTCCTTCCTCTTCTTCCAGTGGGAAGACAAGTGGTGCGATAGGCTCGAAGGCCGATCCTACCCTGATCTCTTGCCTGTGTGGCGTGGCGATTATTATTCTTGGGGCTTGCTAATAGGTTTGGGGTGCCGGGACAAGATGTACTTTCTTTTGAAATTCGAATGTATCGGTTTACGATGCTTCCTGGGTTACGCAGTTCTATGGAGGTAGCCCACGGACAAACAGACATACAAACCACATAAATGACATACTATCCTCCATCGGGACGCATTTTTGGACTGTTAAAGTAGTAATACACATGGACCTCTGCTGCTTCTCATGTATGTAGATGTTGTCTACATGATGAGTTTTTCGTAAGCTTCGACTCTTCCGTCGTATTAACATTTCCATCGGTGAAATTGGGTCCATTTTATGACGCGCACTTATTCACCTGACGTCACGTTGGATACTGGGCAGAATGCGTGCTCAATATTCCTTTGATCCACGCGTGGAAGGTTCGTTCTACGGGTTCGTCATCTGGGTGCTAGCACTCAATAAAGGGACCAAAATTTGGTTTTCCGAAACGTGCTCGTAGTACACGGAAGCATGGTATCGTCGTCCCGCGGGCCAGAAATTGACTCTGAATAAACTTCCGCCTGTGAGCCCCCTAACCACAGCGGTCAGGCGAGTCCGGGGGTTGATCTTACATAAGACGGGTGTCTCGGATGTAAAGATCGACCCTTTTATTACTCCACGGAAGCATCGCGGACCACGACCGTCCCGCTCATATGTGAAAATGACCAACTGACTGATTCATAGGTACTTAATTGCTCGACGTGACTGGCGAGCGCCGAGGGAAAGCGCCTCTCGCCAGTCAAGTCAGCTCTGAGCCCGCCACGCACGCTGTACACGACCGCGACTGCATCAAAGCATGTCCAATGCACACTCCGGACACACTCACTTTTCTCGCCGCCAAGACCCTTCTTCCTGTAATGTCTTACCCCTCGTACTCGGCATGTCACAGTGCAATCATAATTCCCCATCCTCTAACCGGTTTCCCGACATTAGTCCGCCCGATACCCAACCCACGGATACTCTCATTTCCTCAACCTCCAGCGCTTCAAGTCAGTGGTTGCCTACTACCTACCAAGCGGCTCCGGCATACACTCCATCCTTATCCTCCAATTTCCTTGTCGACGAATATCCCCAGCCGCGTACCGCCCAATTCGTCGACATGCTGGAAACCCGTAGTAGCGGCGTGCGTATCGCTTATCCCTCTCCGACCGGTCCTGCACCACATCCTCCTGCTTCCTTTCTTCCGCCATATCCCAGCAATACCGTTCTCTCCTCCACGTGTCACCACTCTCCCATATCACCATCCCCCCTTTCCCACATCGCTCACTCGGCCTTAGCCATATCCAACTCGACACCAGACACTGGCATCCCCAGGCGTGCCGTCGCAGGGTCACTGGATCCTAGCACTGGGATATTCTATAGAACCCCGGAACCTCCGCGATTGCGAACGGCACAGGCATGTGAAAAGTGTAGGGTGAGGAAGGCAAAGGTGCGTGTGATCGCATCTCGCAGTTATACGATTCGAAACGACGCGATATATGATTAATCGACGTACAGTGCAGCGGCGAACACCCTGCTTGCCAGCGCTGTCTCTTGCGAGGCCTCGCTTGCATCTATGCCCCGGAGGGGCGTATCCGTGGACCAACCAAACCAAAGGTGAAGCCGCTGACCGTGGTCTCACCATCTGAATCTCGACCCACCCGTCGCAACATGAACCGATCATCTTCCAATGGTAGCTCTTCGTCCACCTCTAGTCCTACTTCTAGCACGTCTGTGTCTTCCCAAAATCAGTCACTGGCATCGCCCCCCGATTCAGAGGCCACCCCCAAACAAACCTCTCGCCGACGTACTGGCTCATGCTCGGATGTCATATCAGACCATCTTCCATTTGGAGTTCCAGATGAAGACAGTCCGGCGAAAACCCGGAGGAGAAGTTTGGTTATCGATACAAGCGTTCGTTTACCCGATGAGAGTATATCTCCGTCTTCCCTGGTCCTCGGTGCATCGAAGATAAACGGAGAGGATACCAGCGAGAGAAGCAACGGTAGCCGGGATTGCTTGTGAGTACAACTGATATTCTCTACCATTTTGGAGTTCTGTTGGCATCTTCCATTCTCTGTCTCGTGCTCGATATATACGCGTAATTACGTTTCTTACAGCCCACCCACCACTCCATTACCGATATCGCCCATCACGCCCCCTACTTTTACACCCGCCAGTTCGACCGGATCACCAGTCACGCCAGGATTCCATCCATCGGTTGGCTTGGTTACCTCAGGCTCCCAGCCAGCAACGTATGCCCAACCTAGCTCATCTTCCTGTTTGCCTTTGACCCCTTCGTTGTATGACGACTACTTTACCCAAGACAACGGCGAGCTCGACTTCGGGTACAATATTTCCTCATTCGGGGCTAATCCTACGTTGCACCGACAAAGTGCATCAACACAGGCGATAGATTCAAAGACGGGAGCTACGATAGACATCGAGGGCGCTTTTGGTGAGTATTTGGACTGGGCATGTCTGAAGGACGTCAGAGAACACCGGGAAGGCGACCTC